CCACTGTCATTCTAGATTTTAAGACAACTGTCAATTTCTAGGTCTGTTTGTGATGGATGAAGATTCTCCAAGCCAAGATTATGAGCCTTTTTTCGATTCTGACGTGGAGAGCACTGACGGTGAGTGGAGTAGTGCTGTGTAAGGGAGAGAATGCTGAACCCCGTTATCCATTTGAGTTTCTCCCTATTCTTCCTGTGAAGTAGGCATTCTACCTTCTGAGAATTGTTCAAGTCTACTGGATCAATCCAAACCTCCTATGAATTTTTGGTTTCAACTTCTCCCATGAAGTCTCCCTTGTTTGTTGTAAGGATCTTCTTGACAAGTGGGGATCAAGGATTATAACTAGCATAGTTTAGTGGTTAAGTATAAAAAAGAAACCTGCTCAGCTGTGAAGTTCACTGGATGACTTTGGGTAGCCTAGCATACTTTGCAAATTTGTTGGGAGAAGAGAAAGAAAGGGGCAAGTCCTTTGTTTGCGCCTCGGAGAAAGGATATAAATGTGAGGAATAATGAAACAGAGATCCACCTAATTTGTGGGAGAAGGTCTCCTCTACCCAATTGGCTCCCTTAATTGTTTGGTCTAATTAACCTTTAATGGGACTGATAGGCATGGCTAAGTTTGGATCCAATTTACTTTGTTGGAAAGACTCTCAACTTTTTTTTCCTATTTTTAATTTCATTCTTCACAGTTGGTGAGGAGTTATAACTTATAATATACAGTCTGTATATTTGACAGTTTTATAAATAATTTGTTCATTATCGCTTGAGTTTTCATATGGCCATTTGTAGTTTGCAAAAACTCAGAAGCTTGAATACTTTATGACAGCCGTCTCCAACTTACAGTCTTCAAATCTCCTATATTTGGCCATGCAAGCTGGGAATTCTGGGAAATGCAATTGCAACATAACTGGAAGGTGCCAGATTAGTGAAGGCTGCCATATATGGAAACTTTATTGACTGACTATAACGGTATTTGAAATTGCAAGGAGATGCTTCATTTCATTTGTCTCCTTCTAGGTCTTCTATATTCTCTTTGTAATTGAAACTATATTATGGGATGAGAGGAAGTTTTAAATTGTGGATTAAAGATCACTCTGCTGGTGAATCACTTTCTGGCTGCTGGACACTGGGATTTTCAGGAAACAGGATATGGAGAAGTGCTGAATGAGAGTAGCCTTGGCCAGATCTAAAATGAGCATTTCAAGTATTATTTGATAAAAAATATCCTCAAGAATGTATAATCTATGCCCAATACGAACACATTCTTGTAAATACACACTTGGAAACATTTCTGAATAAAGTGTAGAGAGATGGAGGATCTGAGGTAGCTTGTAATCATTAGTGTGTTGCTAGATCCCCTCCATTGTTGCCCACCTTTTGAAAAAGGCTTGTAATAACAAAAAAGGAAGCCAGCATGCTGTACAACAATGCACTTGCTTCCAGCATTGTATCTATTTGTGGGAATACCCTTGGGCTTATCAAGGTCGCACTGGAATGATAGAACATCCTAGTAAATGAGTGTTTTGGGACTGGCCATGAGACTGTATCTGCTGCCAGAATTCCAGATGTGCCTTTGTTCTAAAAGGTTGCCTACCTCTGCTCTAGATATTGTTGAATTGCAACTCCCAGTAGCACCAGCCAACATGGCCAAAGGTTAATGATTCTGGGAGTTGTAATTCAGCAAAGTAAGGGGGATTAATCTAAACCAAGCCACTCCTGCTTTGGATCAAGGTTATGATGCTTACTGCTTGCTGTTTCAACATTGTACAGTTGGTCTAAGCTTTTCTCCCCATCCCCTTTTTCTCAGATGGGAGTCTGAGTGAGGAGGCTCCAGGACAGACAGCTCCTCCACCCCCAAGCCATCAGTATGCCAAATCCCTACCTGTCTCAGTGCCCATCTGGGGCTTTAAAGAGCAACGCCAAGAGATGCGATCCTCTGACGAAGAGAACAGTAAGGTGGGTCAGAGTAGGGATGTGCAACTTGAGAGGGCTGTCATCCGGGGAAGCGGAACGGCTATCAGAGCCTTTTCCTTCTCCTTGGGTGTCACTGGTGCTTTGCTGACTAAGTAATAAAATCCTTGGGAGGAAATTGTTTTGGCTGAGCCTTTCTCAGTTCGCAGTCTGAAAGTAGAGAATCAAACCAGCATTAAAGCCTGATTAGATTCTAAGGGGTGGGCAACCTTTTCCCAACCAGGGACTCAACTTCCCTGGCAGTCTTTTCAGCATCAGAAGACATAAGGGTGATGCCATCAGGGGATTTCCCCTCGTTTTATAGAAGTGGTCATGATTGGAGGCCTGCAAAAAGACCTGTGCTATGCTTTGGGTGGGTATAAAACACCTTGTTTTTAAAAAGTAGAAAATCCTACCACCATAATTTAGTCATATATTGTACACATTTGAGTGGCCATCCTGAGTATGTTGTGCAGTTCGGGGTACCACCTTTTAAGGAAGACTCAGAGAATTTACAACAGGTGCAAGGAGGTTGCTCAGGGACTAAAATTAAGTCTTTGAAGAGAGACTGAGGTAACTTTATGTTTGCTTTAGAAAAGATGAGTGAAAGGAGAATTGATAGCACTTTCCAAGAACCTGAAGGGATGCCTTCTAGAAAAACGTTGAAATCTGTTCTTCATCATCCCAGAGGACAGAATACAGGGTAATGCTCTCAGGTTACAGGAAAGCAGATCAAAGTAGGCAGATTGAATTGTGTAGAAGACTTTCTAACAGTTAGAGCAGTTTAAGCCAAAAACAGGTTGTGGGGTCCCCTGCCTTGGCTGTGTTCAAACAGAGGCCAGGCAGCAATTTGTCAGCATTGCTTTAATTTGGGTTCCTGGACTGAACAGGGAGTCCAAAAGGCCCCATCAAACTCTCTATTTATCTCAAAGTCTGTCTTAGTTTTTAAGAGCAAATAGATAGAGGCACAACAGTCCAATGGTTCGCTCTTTCTCCACTATCTTGGCAATTCATTTGTGCCTAGTTCAGTCGTGACTTTTTGCCTTATTTGTTCTTTCTCAACTATCCCTACACTGACCATTGTGTACCAATAGACCACTTAGCTAGATTTAATGACGAAAAGGGAAATCGTACAATTAGCTACTTCAGAGGAAAAAGAAAAACTCACAAAAAGATGTGTGACCAGTATCTGGGGGGAAAAAAAATCAGAAGTGGCTTGCAGTTCCTTAAATAAGTTAAATCTTTTATCCTTGAAGGCAGGTAATGCAAAATGGCATAATGGGCCTTTTGTGTGGAAAATCAGTTTTCTGGGTTGGTTTTTCTTGCTTTCTTAATTAAGAGTACAAACTGGTCTAGAAGGAATAACGGTGGGAGGAAGAGAGAAGTCAGATTCATAGTGGGAGCTTATCATCAGTGTCAGCAGGAACAAGGGAAGCAGGTGAAGAGAGCTGAAGATGCAGAGGCAGGAGGAAAAGCGAAAACATCCTCATTTCCTCACCTCCATTCCTCTTTGTAGCATTCATCTCCTGACCTCGAGAAGATTGCCGCCAGCATGCGAGCTCTGGTCCTGCGAGTTTCAGATGGCACGGAGATGTTTGGAGACCTGCCTCGGCCACGCCTGAATACGAGTGACTTCCAGAAGCTGCAGCGGAAATATTAATAGATCTGGCCGTTCCTCCTGCAGCATTGGTGCCATCTTCCTCCACTACCAAAAATCGGTGGACAGGGTTCAGAGCTCCTCTCAAGCCATACAGTTCAAATTCCATCCTCCCTACCAGCCTTTGCTCCCACAAGCTTTAATTTAAAATGGGTAACCTCAGATTCACACTACAGAGAGGCTGGAGGGGTTAATTACCTCCTTTTTTTCAACCCAGAAGCCTTGGCTTCTATGATTTGAATACTTAAATATAACAGCCCTTCTGAGAGGGGCTCCTGACACACTTTGATAAAACATACGCACAGAAAGACAGGAACACTAGAGACGTCCTGACAAAAACAGCTCCACCACAGTGCCCTGCCTCTGCCGGCCCCAAATCTATCTTTCTGCAGCAAGTTCTTAGAAATTCTCTGTCTCCCTTTTTCCTCCCCAATAAGTGTCTTAAAAGAAGATCCTTTGCACACAAACTGGGCTTGTCTATACTTTAGTTTAAATTTAACTGTCCCTTTGCGGAACAGTGAATGGAAGGAGGGGACCTTGTCGTCTTGCTGTTTTTTGTTCTCCTTTCTCCCACGTGTAAATCTCTCCCCGTTTCCAGTAGTAGTATTTCAGGGTCCTTTTTACTATTGGGGAGGTTGGTGCAAATGTGCCCTTCCATCCCGTGGCAGGTGGGATGTGAAAGAAGGTCTAGGAGCTGTGTACAGCCTCTGACTATCCCACTCCACCCCAGCATACTTTTGTATCAGATTTTCAAGGGCCATTCTTGGCCCTAGCCCTCTATTTTTGTCCAAAGATGACTGGTGAATTGGAAGGGAAAGGATATTTTTTCTCCTTCCTGCCAGCCTATAAGCCAATAATAATAATAATAATAATAATAAAAAAGTTGTCTTTTACCAGCTCCTTTTGCTGTATTGTCTTTCTGAAAAGAAATGGGTTTAGGGTAGAAATCAGCTGTGCTGGCTAGTTGTTTTGGAGCACAAGTTGGAGAAAGCTGGTTTAAATGGGAAAAGCACCAGGGAAGTTTCCAGAAAGTTCAAGCTTTGAAATTGCACTCCAAGCAGTAATATGAAAAGGCAAAGGATGACTTCATAACTACCTAAATTCTGGGATGTGGAAGGGCTGCAACAGGAATTTTGTTCAGTGAAAAATGGCCTCTTTCCCCATTATTTTTTAAATTTGAATGGGAAGATTCTTTTGTCAAAACATTCATTTTTGCCTTTGTCAAGGAGAGTGATCGTGGGACATCAATAATATGAAGAATTCTAAGGAGTTTATACCCGAAAAAGTTCAGGTTTTCACTTACTCAACTTCCCACCCTTTTTAAGGGATAGTTATAGGTGCAACTGAATCATACACAAACTACAAACAGGCAACAGGTACCAAATGCAGTATCTAAAAGATAAATACTGTTTTAATGGGTGTTTAGTATATTTCAGTTATGTACAAAGCAGGAGTATTGAAGACCACGTCTTAAAATATAGGGAGAAGTCAAGATGTAAAGAGGGAGGTTTGCTTAGGAATTAAGAAGCTTATGGGCAATAGAAACAGAAATGAGGTTCCTTAGGAGAATTGGTTATTCTGGGAAGAGAGGGCCCCTCTTGCAAGCATGGTATGAACATACCAAGCAGCAGAACTGGCTTTCGCCTGAAGAGGAGGGGAAAGAAGGTGCGGGAAGGGGCCAATGCAAAAGAGCTCCAGAGGAGCTAAAAATGCCCTTGTTCCTTCTTCTGAGCCTCACGTCCCCAAGTTTGGAAGGACAAGGAGTAGGCTGGAATGGAGTCAGTCGTAGTATTTCTCTGCCCTCCGAACTTGGCAATACATCAGCATGGAGAACACGATGCCCAAGACCTAAAAAAGTGGAGACAGATCTAGTCAGAAAAACAACAGAAGCCCTAGCCCAGCTGATCAATACCCTGTATCTCTTGGAAATGTCTGTTCCTCGTCTGCTCCAAAACGCAGGCAGGTCCTGCCAGCTCTTACTCAGGCCATGAAGTAATCCTACTGCTTGGCATGTAGAAACAAATCAATCATATCGTAAGCCAGTGTCTTTCTCTCTTGGCAACTTTAAGATGTGTGGACTTCAACTCCCAGAGTTCCCCAACCACTGTGGTGGCTGGGGAATTTTGGGAGCCGAAGTCCACACATCTTAAACTTGCCAAGGTTAAGAAACACTGTTCTAAGCCTAGCCCGTATGGCCTATTCCATCAGAAGGTCTCCAATTTTGAGCAACAATGGATGGGTGCAGAAGGTTCCATCTAGCACTGCAAAACAGGGCTGGGAAAGAACCTCTATTTGAAACCCTAGTAACTGCAAGAAATACTGAGCATATGAAGCGGTGCCTACTTTGGTATAAGCTACTTCTTTCCTCCCTCTCTTTTTCAAACCTGAGTTTCACCAGGTTTAAACCAGAAAACGAATGGAGTAGGGAGGCCCTTCCTCACGCCCTCTCCACCAGTTGCCTTGCTGTCTTAATGGAATCTGGAGAGTGCAAGAAGCAGGAAGTATGTGCTGTTCTAGTAACGCAACCTTCCTCAGCCTGGCACCCTCCACGTGAGTTGGAAGTTTCAAGGATCTGGTTGGGGAAGGCCATGTTAAGAGCATCTGGTGGGGTTATAATAACAGCCAGGGTGCTGGGTCTGGACTGGCACTGGGGGAGACCCAGGTTCAAGTTCACTCTCAGCCATGGAAGCTCCCTGGCAGTCTTTGGGCCAATCCTTCTCAGCCAGTAGTGATTGTGGGAATAAAAAGCCAGGAAGGGGCACAGTATATGCTGCCTTGAGCTCCTGAAGGAAAGGCAGGATAGAAGCCTAACAAGCAAGTCTTGGTGAGCTAAATATTCTCTCTGGATGTTGTATGCATTTAAAAAGTAGTTTAACCCCATCTGCATTATCTTCTATCAGATCTGCAGGCATGCTATGACTTGCAAATGTATTGTGCAAATGCACACCATGCAGACAATGGCTAGATGTCAGCAAAGGCATGCAGAAAATCCACCTCTTTCCTGCCATCTAATGGCTGCTGGGTGGTTTGCAGTCCAGATAGGTTAAAAACCCAGATAAATAATTTAAAGGTAAGCCATGCTTGATGAAATCTTGGAAACCAGTGGAACAGGCTTTTTAACAGTCAGCCAAAGACTTAAATTCTTTGCATTATTTTTATGTTTAATTTACAGACTGCTTTTCTGATCCCATTGCTCTCTTGTACATCTTTCCTATTATATTAGGACCTAAATATAACATGCTGTCTTTGCTGAACCTGCAAAACCTTAATGAGCTGTACGGCTGGCTTTTCTTCTGCCTGGCCTTTGCTCTTTTTCTCATGGTAGGTAACCTCCATTTTTTAAAGAAAAGAGCACAATTTATTGTATATATTTCTTTTTATCCTCCAAGCGCAGCAGGACACTTTGAGGTGATGTATGATATCCTCCCAGCAGGCAAAGATTAAAATGTTGCCCTTTGTTTTGTTTTAGAATTAGGAGAGGTTAAGCAAAAAAGTGTATTATGTCTAGTGGAAGATTGGAAGCCCTCTTTTGCTTGTTACTCGTTAAGCTAAAATTGTGCACTCAGATTTGCAGGTATGACTTTGGGGAATTCAGGAACCTTCCAGGAGGTTGGGAGAGATGCTTGTACCCTCTTCCTCTATGCCCATTGTGATGAGTATTAATTTTCTTTCAAAGAAATCTTACTAGTTGTCTAGGTCAGTATTTCTCAACCTTGGCAACTTTAAGATGGGTGGACTCCAACTTGTAGAATTCACCAGCCAACGTGCTGGCTAGGGAATTCTGGAGTTGAAGTCCACACATCTTAAAGTTGCCAAGGTTGACAAAAACACTGGTCTAGGTCACTCCATCTGCCACCGCTGCTCTGACCATCTCACCTGGACAACAATGATACAGGCAGCAAAAATGCCCATTGCAGAGATGTTCTCCCCTAGCCAGCGTTTCACCTTCTCATAGCAAGGCTGCAAGGAAGAGGACAAAATAAATAGAAGCACATGAAATAGTGGTTAGGAAATCTTGGGAGGAAGGTGCTAGTTGAACATAGAGGCATTATGCTTTTATTTGAGTATTTTAAAAGTAAATTTGGGAAAGACGACAGGAGATGGAAAATGAAGGTTTTTGGTACATTATAATTGGGACTAGATCTGTACATACATGCTTACATACATACACTATTGTTACCTAGTGTTTGAAAACAAACAGACATCCTTAAAAATCATAAACAGACATTTTAAAAATGTAATTCTTACAATTTCTGGAGAAGGCTTTAATGCTGGGAAAGATGGAAGGAAATAGAAGAAGAGGACGACCGGCAGCAAGGTGGAGGGACTCAGTTACAGTGGCAATGAGTGCACTGTTGAAAGACCAGGTTAGGGACAGATCATCATGGAGAATATCTACATGGTTGCTGAGAGCAGACAATGACTTGATGGCATGTAATCAATCAATCAATTCTTACGATGCCAATGTCAAGGACAGAATTAACGTTCACAGCAAAGCCCAAAAACTTTCTGAAAGAGATGAGTCTTAAGTTCTCACCCAATACTAGGAAAGAAGAGGGTAGGCCAAAAACCCACAGAAGGCATTCTGCAATTTGGATGACATCATGCCAAAGGCCATAAGCTGCCCTTTCCTAGATCTCTAATGGCAACAAGAAACGGGGAAAGGCTGTTCTTAAAATATGGACAGGTACACAAGGATGCAGCTCTTAAAATAAAAGCCACAGCATATTCTGGCTAACAGAAAAGGCTGTTTATGAGTATAAACTCATTCATACGTGCGTAAGGCATCTTTTCACTTGAATAGACCACTAAAAAAATAAGTTCATAGTGTGAATTCATACTATCTGTAAGGGTGGGTGGCAACTGATTAGCAATTCTGAGATGCAAAGGGGTATAAAACACAAAGGAATCCCAGCTGTTTCTAAGAATAGCAAAAGAAGGAAAATCCCAGCAAGTGAAAGGACAGAAAACTACTGGTATGTACCTATTGGACTGCAGGGCAGTATATCCCATGTTGGAGGCCAAAAGGCTTCAGAGGAAACAGAAAAGCAGCAAAGGAAGAGAAGGAGGTGAGGTTTTCCTGGTAACCAGTAGTGTAATTATTTTTTCCCCATTGGAAACTAAACAGTTCCTGGTGCTTCACGGATCATGTTTCCTCACCCTTAATAACTGCCTCTGGGTTTAATAATTAAGATAAAGATAAGGAAGGCTTTTCTCTATTATTTATTTCTGTTTAAAGTGAAACTAATCTAGGCTAACACTGACTGTCAGTTTTTCGCCGTGGCTCAGTTCATGTTTTCCTTGAGATAGCAGAAAACTAAACCAGTGCAAAACGTGCTGTTCGCACTGGCAATCCCACCCATATTTCTATGGCTTGCTGCTGGGTGGTGATATCCTAATTTTAACTGGCATGTTACAGACAGCCAATTTGGTGTAGGGGTAAAGGCATCAAGCTAGAAATTGGGAGACTGTGAATTCTAGTCCTACCTTAGGCACAAAGCCAGCTGGGTGACCTTGGGCCAGTCATTCTCTCTCAGCCCTAGGAAGGAGTCAATGGCAAGCCACTTCTGAAACTTGAGTCAACACTGACTCAAAGGTACACACATCCACAGGGCACGTTATACAAAGCCACGGTGTTTCTCCCTCCCCCTTTCTCAACCATCTGCCAATCATGACTTTACTGAGATTGGTGGATGGCTAGACCCATGGTTTTCGCCATCTGTCAAACCCTGGCATCAAGGCAGCTGATCTACAGGGAATGTTGCCTGAGAAAGCAGAAGTCCTACTGCTTTACTAGGCAGCCCCACCCACACCTGTGAACCAGGTATTGATTCCAAGCTGATCTGTGGGGTGGGAGGGCTGGGCATGATGAAGCAGGAGAGATTGCTCATCAGCCACCCAACAGTTGATGGGTAGAGGGAGTGCCCAGTAAGGAGCTTTTAATGAGCAGTCCTCCCACCCCACAGATCAGCTTGGCATCTGATTTATTTTTAGAAGCTTAGCACTGTAAACTCGTTTACATGCAGTTCCCTCCTGCCCATCAGTTGTTTGGGGATTTGCTTTTCCCTTCCAGAAAATAAAAAAAGAAGGGGGCCAAAGAAGGGTGTCCTGGATCCCAGTGGAGAGGGGAGTAAGCAGCAGCCACCCAAAGTGAGCTATAGGTGTCAGGCTCATCCCATCCCTGGGGGTCATCAATCTGTGCTACCGCCATCATGGATGGGAAAATGTGGCCCGCTGTTGACACCCTTAAACTGCCACTGACTGCTGTCAACTTAAGTGGAAAATGCTACTTTAAAACTGGAACAGCCAAGGATGACTTAAGCCTGTCTGAGTCATGGGATGAATATGGGATGAAGGCAATGTCCTGGGGCACAGCAGAATAAAGTAGTTGCCAGGGCATGTTCATACCATGGTTAGTTGCAAGTACTGAAAGGCCCTGAGATAAGGATCACTGAGGATGGGAAGGGAAAAGAGATGTTGAAGGCTTTCCCTTCAAAGGCTTTTTGTGGGGGATCTTTTCTGAACAATATTAACAGAGAAAATGGAAGTAACTCAGAGAGGATACAACAATGATCATGAACTGAATTTCTAGAATCGCAGCTCTTCCCCTATGTCTGTCTCTAAGGCAGGAGGGTGCAATTTTTTAACGCCAAGAATACAGGACAAAAACTAAAGTTGATTTCACTTCATATCAATTTATATTTAATTAAAACTGATATTGTTACTCTCCTGTTATTCATTTAATGATTGCCTCCACTTGGTCACCTTAAAAACAACAATTTAGAAACGTCCTTTGCAGGTCTCAGGGACCCACATCTGGCTATGGAATTTCAGATGGTGCATCTTTGCAAAAAAACAGATTCCACCAGGGCAATTCAACATTGCATTGGGGTTGAAGAACCTGGAAGGCTACAGATGCAAGAAGGAGATGTCTGCAGGGCCTCTCAACCAAGTCCTTTGTGCTTCAATCTGGCAGTGAATTCTACTCCCTTAGGGAAGATGCCAGTTTGGAAACCACTGCAGGAGAGGGACTTCACACTCATCTTCAGCACAATCCTGTTGCTGCCATCTCACCTCCTTCCACCAGCTGGCACTGTCCACTTGACAACCATCACTTCGCTGCAAGCAGCACGACTCGGGAACCCAAGTGCCGTTCCTCATCTCAAACCAATCTGTGTAGTTCTGCACCCCACAACAACGGAACTGCAAAGCCAGAAGATAAGAAGGAAGGGGGTGGGTGAGTTTGTGCCTGATGTCAGGAAAAACTCCCAATGGTTTCAGTCCAGCCTGCACTGTATGTGGCACACTGAATAGGCTTTTACACACTCACCTCGTTTTGCACAAGGTCCCATGCTTTGGTTAACCCCAAGTTGTCTTCTGTCTCATAGAGCTTGAGTCCTTCCTTGAGGTTGGACTGAGCATATCGGTCAAACTGGAGGAAAGACATACTACATGCTCCAATTGATCTGTTTAGTGTTGCAAACACTTCATTGTGTTCTTTTAATATCACTTTTTAGATTGTCACAATACCAAAACGTCGAGTGTCCCTAGGTAATGGTATTTTGATTAAAGGGAACTCTTATGGGACGGGGAACTCCAAAACAAGCCAACAAGATTCTGTATGGACATGGAATGGAGTACCCTACAAAAGGGCACTTTTGGTGGCTGGAACCTGGGTTAGAACGTACTACACCAGTGGCTGGCTGGCTGTGGAATTCTGGGAGTTGAAGTCCATACATCTTAAAGTTGCCAAGTTTGAGAAAGACTGTACTACACTATGCCGAGATGCAAATTTTCCAGTTTCTTAACAGATTTCTTAGTAGACCCACAATTGGAAAAGCAGGAGAGGTTGAAACTAGACCTCCATTATTTATTTCTCTCATCTCATCACCATCAATTCTGAACACACTAAGATAGGGATGGCTGGATAGTATGACCACATTGGTATATGACCATTAAATATTATTTTCCCATGCATGGCACCAAACTATGTATGATTGACGTGATCTCTTGACCATGCAGAAACAAAGAACATGGCCTAGCCAGGACCAAATTGTTTCTCCCAATTATTCCATTTTGAAAAGGAATACATGCTACAGCTCTTCTAAGGAAACTTTGGAGGGTGCAAAACTTGAGCTGTAGCTTTGTCACCTTTAAGGTGTGGAAATGATGAATTAAATGGGTATAATTGATTCTTTCTTCATTCCATGAGATTGAGGCAGACTTACGATCTGTATTACGTACCTCTTTGGGCAATGGAAATTCATACTGTGAAACATGTTTCTGATATTGGGGTTGCCATAATCAGCTGTTATGCAGAGCATTGAGGCTGTTCTTTAAGTAATCTCCTTCACTCGTTTCTTCCAATTTTTCTAAATATATGGAAATAAGGATCCTTACCTTATCTCGGCAAGTGATAAAAACTAGCAATCCAACTAGTTCCAGGAGAAAGAGGGTGGAAAGGACCAGGAAGAACTAAGGAGAAATGGACAAATCAATCAATCCAGGATGGAGCGTTTTATGTTTAGGTACAGATATGTGCATATCTCAGCTAGGATTGTTTCTACCATGTGAACCTTTCTGCTCAGTATTTTTTAATGGACTCACAGAATTGTGCACATACAACCAGAATGTTAGAAAAATACCTTGGAACACAACCTTCCTCAACCTGATGCTCTCCAGATGTGCTCCTGAGCTCCACAATTACATCCAGACTTCCCTTCACATAACCCCCTCCCCCAAAAAGTGCACATGTTCATTCTACTTGTTTTCATTCATTAAAGCATTTAGGCCCATTCTTTACTCAAAACAATTCCCACAGCAGTTTATACATGATCATAGAACAAGGAGTCTCTGCCTTGTAGTATATTATATAAAAAGATCCAGTGCAAAGGAAGAAACTTCTCAGAAGAGAAAAAAAAACAAGTAAAGTCGGGCATCCAAGAGATGGAATGCAATTCTTAGGAAGGTGGTCTGAAACGGAATCCATTCAGGGAGTGGAAAAAAGCAGGGGATTTCAATCACAGGGTTCTGGCTGCCATCTTGATTTTTTGACCCCATCTCTGGGGACATCCCTGCTCAGATATTTATTGCTTATGTATTATTTTGCATATTCCAGGGCTGAGCATGCCTAGCATTTAAACAGGTCCTGTAGAAAAATCCTGCTTCAGATTAAGTCCTGTAGATACCATCTTCTCTGACCGGTATCTGCTCCTACCAATGGGCTTATTTGACATTCATTCCACTTGACTCTTGTTCATGCACATGGTACAAAGAGATGCTACTTACCGTCAGTAAGAGACATCTATGTTCTGTGGCTGCCCCCAAGCAGCCGAGGAACCCCACCACCATGATGATGGCACCTGTTGCCATGAAGAGGCCTGCTGCTGACAGCGATGGGAAGGAGAAGGATAAGGTAGCAAAGCGACCCTGGGTGGCGGCCAGCCATACACCCACGCCGAGCACCCCACAGCCACCCAGCTAAAGGGAGAGACAGAGGAGAAGCACATAATCAAGAATGGAGGCTCAACTCTTTTCTCACTGTGCTCCAGGATACTGTTGCAGCAAAAATAATTAGCTTAATTCCCACAATTATTTTGGTCTCTCCAGCCTATCAAAAACTCTCCCTGCTACCCCAACGGATCTTTCACTTAGAAATTACTCTAACATTCAATTGTTGTGGACTGTTGGAGTTCCAATGTTTATCAACATTCCGTGACATCATAGGAGTTTAGCCAATGAGCCACACAGGGAAGGAAAAGTCAGGTTTTAGATTGTTTTATCATTATAATATTGAATCAGTGAATATACTCTGTACGTCATTTAATCTCACATCAATCCTACAAAACAGGATTATAACCCTGCTGTTATTTAGATATTTAGATATAATCCTACAAAACAGTTTATAACCCTGCTGTTGTTTAGAAGAGCCATGAAGACCTGGCTTTTCACCCAGGCCTTCAGCAAGGAGAGACCCCTCACTTCATTGTGCTTGCCATCTTTTATCTTTATTTTTTATTAATTTTATTGTAATTTCTTTGTTTGATTGTTCTGAGCCACCCAGAATCGCTGAGAGTTGATGGCCTACAAGTTTAATAAATTATGATTATATTATTATAACAATGAATAAGTTCCCATCAGGAGTGGATATGAATGTGAACCAGATCACCGATTATTGATTATTAGTGTTCATTGCCGATTGCTGTTTTTATCTTGTTTGTTTCTCATAAGCTGCCCAGAATCACATTGCTCAAATTAATTAGATAGATAGATAGATAGATAGATAGATAGATAGATAGATAGATAGATGTCATTAATAGAAAGTGTTCCTGCATCTAGAACAGATCCACCGACTTGTAAGGGATCTGTCCTAGATGCACTAATTTCAAAGTGTGCAAATAGCCTGTTGTGCAGAAAGGTGCTCTGATGCATCATTTTAACTTTAAAATAGGGTTCATGCAAAATTCATTATGGAGAGACAGACTTGCCATGACTCACCCAGAAGATGAGATTGAACACAAACATTTTCACTTTAACGCAAAGCAAACATCCTCGGCTCACCCCCATGATGCACAAAGATCCTAGAAAGAGATGTGGATGAAGCATTCGACAACACTGAGTATTTCCACACATTATTCAAGACAAAGCTCTGTTTGCCAGTAAAAGAACCATAGCCTAGGCAACAGATGTAATAAATCCAAAATCTACAGTCAAATATGCAAGGGTTGAATTCTCGAAAGTATTTTATCAGATTAGTAGCCCAAAAGGTAAGAGACAGAGAAATACATTAAAAATTCACGGATCATATCATATCACATCACTGCCTATAAACAAACAGTAATACATATTGGGAAGAACAGTTATTATAACTAGTAACTACTACAATAGAACCAATATTATAATAAAACATCGAAGTTTGAGAGGGAATCAGTCATATCATCTTATAAAAAACAACAAGAGTTAGTGACTTTTGATAAGCAAAATATTTTCTAGTTATTACAATCTTGGACTTCTATCTAATTATTGAAAATTAACCCTTCTGTCTACAAACAGGAAAGGAAAACATGAAAGAGTCGCTCATTCACTATCTTCATGAAAAAGAATTAAAAATGGAAATAAAATACGTGAAAGAAAGAGTGTGTGCGTTCACTGGCAAACAATTGGTACAAATACATTTCCAGAGTATGTGCCTGTGCTGATATAACCTTATTTCTAAGCAGCCCAGTGCAATTCTAGGTCTCCAACCCAGTGTCCTCATAATGGCAGGGGTGATTCTAGGCCAAGGCCAGTGTTTCTCAACCTTTGCAACTTTAAGGTATGTGCACTTCAACTCCCAGAATTCCCCAGCCAGCACTGGCTGGGGAATTCTGGGAGTTGAAGTCCACATATCTTAAAGTTGCTAAGGTTGAGAAACATTGGCCTGGGCAATCCAGGCAGTCACTTAGGTCGCCAAATTTTAGGGGGTGCCAAAACTGAAAAGACTTCCCAAATACACAAGCATTAAATCAGATAATCTTTGCTTTTTGCTTTAAAAGATTTTCTTTCTATACTTTTTGAAAACACCCACAAAGTCGGTCAAGTGGCAGCGTATAGCACACTAATCAGACATTGCAGGTCATACAGTTATGAATTGCAGGAAGCTGATAATATTAGATGAAGGTCTGACATGAAGATACTGAACGAGCGAGTCGCATGACCAACAGCTTATCGAAGTTACGTGGTAATAGCACGCTCTCTGCATCAGCGCACCCACTCGAGGGTTAAATATAATTTCACAGAATGGTTGCCGAATGAGAGCAACAGGTGCTGGCATAATTAAAATTATGGATTCACACTAAATAGGGTGAAAATGTTCAAGAAGAGAAAAAAATTGCCTGGGGCAGAAAATCATTAAGCATAAAGCTCAAAAACTTGAAGAAAAAAGAAACAAGAGGGGGCTTTTTTGAAATTCCTAACAAAATCGGAAGATGAGCCAAAGCATAGGGGGTGCCAGAATATGACTTTCCCTAGGGCACCAAAATGTCTAGAGCTGGGGCTGATAATGGATTACAAACCCCTGCATTTTTATCTAGGACAGTGTTTTTCAAACTTGGCAACTTTAAGATGTGTGGACTTCAACTCCCAGAAT